TATGCTTTCACATTATTTTGATTATATGGACGGTATTTCGATCGCTATTAGTTTGATTTTCAATGGTTATCATTTATATATGGGTATGAGCAACCGACTTGATGCCCATAGGAAATAATATTATTTCAGGAGAAGTATAGAATGAATGTTATACTAAATGAAAGCGCGCCAAAAACGGGATTTACTGCTACTAAATAGTAAGGGTTTTGTAAACTTTGTAACGTCGAACTAATAAAGTTTCGAGAAATTTAATGCACTAAAAAATGTTAAAAAACTCACATTTTCTATATGGAAGAAAAACGCTAGGTTTTCCCATGAAATTAGCTTTTTTTGGATTATTTCTACTACCTCACATGTTTCGAAATGCACTTATTCGATTCAGTTTTCCATGTTGCATCTATTGAATGTATTTCGAAACATGTGAGATAGTAGAAATAATGCAAAAAAAGCTAATTTCATGGAAATACCTAGCGTTTTTCTTCCATATAGAAAATGTGAGTTTCTTTAACATTTTTTAGTGTATTAAATTTCTCGAAACTTTATAGGTTCGACATTACAAAGTTTACAAAACCCTTACTATTTAGTATCAGTAAATCCTATTTTTGACGAGCTTTCATTTGGTATAAAATTGATTATATGCTTCTCCTGAAATAATATTATTTCCTATGGCTACCAAGTCGGTTGCTCACGCCCATATATCCAATATAGAAAAACTAGAAATAAAATACATTATTTTCTATATTATGAACATAGAAAAAAAAAGAATAATATTTGCTATATATCCAATATAGAAAAGTTAGAAAAAAAACTGTTTTTATATTATCGATGTCGGAAAATAAAAAGTCAAAATTAGAATTTTCTATATCATCAATATAGAAAAATGATTAATAATATTATATACATAACCCATACAGAAAAAAAAGCAATAAAACAAACTGTTATCTATATTATCAATATAGAAAAAATAAATAAAAAATTTGACTTTCTATCTCATTGATACAACAAAAAAAGCAATGAAACTAACTATTATATATATTACCAATGTATAAAAATAAGACGTAATAATTAGGATTTTCTACATTATCAATATAGAAAAATAAGAATTAAAATTAACTGATACTTATATTATCAATTTAGATAAATAAGAAGTAAAAAATGAGATTTTCTATCTTATTAATATAGAAAATGAGAATTAAACAGGGGGTTTTCTATATTACCAATATAGAAAAATAAAAACTGAAAGCCAAGATTTTCTATATTGTCACTAAGGAAAAATCAAAAATTAAAATTAGGATTTTCTATATTATCAAATACAGAAAAATGAAAAATGAAAAATAATAAATAAGAATTGCTATACTACCAATTTAGGAAAAGAAAAAATGGAAACTAAGATTCTTCTGTTATTGATGTAGAAAAATAACAAATAAAAGTAACTGTTATCTATACTGAGAATATAGAAAAATAACAAATGAAAACAGCTATGAGTTATATTGTCAATACAGAAAAATAAAAAATAGAAATTAGTATTTTCTTTATTATCATTTTAGAGAAACAAAACAGAAAACTAACCTTTTCTATGTCATCAATATAGAAAAAATATATGGAACTCTGCTTTTCTATATTTTGAATATAGAAAATAAAAACCATAAAACCAACTATTATCTACCTTCCCGTGTCGTCAAAATCGCCTAACTTTTCACGATTAATCGCGATTTTTCAAAATACTAACGATTAATCGCGATTACTCGTCAGTATTTTGGAAAATCGCGATTAATCGTCAATATTCTGAAAAATCGCGATTATGAAAAAAAACCGCCAATTAATCGCGATTAACCGTCAGTATCTTTAAAAATCGCGATTAATCATCAATATTCTGAAAAATCGCGATTGATTGGCAATTGTTTTATATTATCGATATAGCGCGATTAAACTGGTGAATTATTTAATTTAAAATTTTTTGACTCAAGCTAAGAAATTGTAGCAATGCTCAGTCATTTTCCATGTCATCAAAATCGCGCTAGTTTTAGTTATTAGTGGCGATACCAAAAAAATCAGCAATCAATCGTGATATTTCAAAAACAAGTTTGTTAGTTATGTAAATAGGAAAATAAACAGAATATATTATTTTATTGAGACTGAAAGTGTTTTTTGATTATTTTTGTCAAAACATTTTCATAATTTCCATACCAAAATTGTGAAGCAAAAATTCAGAATGAACATTTACTGGTAGGCGGATTTTAACGAATAAAAGAAAATATGTATAAAATTCTTATTATTTATTTTTCGGCTTTTTTTCTAGTCTACATTATTTTGATCTATCCAAAAAAGCGATTGTAATTCTATGTTTTTTGAGTGATGAAATGCGTTTTTTGCCATGTTTAATCGAAGTATTTTTCAAAAGAGTTTTAGCGCTATCTTATGAATGCTCATATATTTATTATAAGATAAATAATTTTTTGACTATTCTATATTTATAATAAAAATGAGTAGTTTTTGAATAGCCAAATTTAAAAAAAAACAACTTTTATAAATTGACTTATTTAAATTACAGATTATAATATATTCAGTTTATTTTATATAAAAATTCAATCTATTTTTTATAATAAATTCACTAAATTTATTACATAAATAATGCAAAATTATTTATCTTTGTTTTTAAATAATAGGAGAATTATATACCTAATTTTTCTCATAATTAATTTTTCGTGGTGAAGCGAAAAATTTTGTTTAATAGAAATATAAAATTCAACGATTCGAGGAATACGTAAGAATGGTCTAATGGTATATTCTCTGCTTCGAAACTACAAGAGCTTCTGTTCGAATCTACTCTGTGGTAATTAAAAAAATTATATAAAATGCCTTTAGCAAGACAGAAAATACATTGACAGACGAACCAGGTTTACGAAAATGTATGTAAATAGTGAAAATAAAGTTCAAGATCATGATAGACTTGGCAATAACTTTTTAGAAGTTTGATACATCGTAGCATGCTGCTTTTTGCTCAAAAGTGCGTTACTATACGCAGCTTCACGACCACGTTTAAGAGTCTAGAGAAATTATGCGAACTGAAATAAGAACGGGTTTCAACGCAGATTTTCATAAAATTTTTTCTGGGTAGTCATAGTCCCAGGTTACAATTCTATGAACAGATTCGATTATTGAAAATACTATTTGAATAATCGCGATTTTTCACGAAAATCGGAAACTAAAATCGGTAAAAATCGCTACTTTAGGCGATTTATCGCAATATAATTGCACAATTAATCGGCATCATAAATCGCGATAAATCGCCGATTTTTAAGCGATTTTCACCACATGGGTTACCAATATTGAAAATAAGAATTAAAACTAACTGTTATTTATATTATTAATATGGAAAAGAAGAATTAAAAAATAAGATTTTCTCTATTATTAATATAGAAAAATGAGAAGTAAAAATAGGATAGCCTTCTCAGATCTTCGGGATGCTGACGTTGGATTAGTGTTGAGATGAATGTCGAATGGTGTATTCATAAGAAATACCAGGAAATCAGGTTTGTATGAATGTAGTGAATATGGAGTATCGTTTTAGAGTATATTTGTTCTTAATGTTCACTGTTATTCGTATGCGATGGAATATCACGCAATATAGTTTCAATGTTGAGTGTTATATCTATCCAACATAGATGTCTTTATTGTGCAATCACATCGGTATTTGTATATGAATTACTTGCTATTGTTCATTGCTGACTAACGAACCTATCACTAAGTGGATATCGGTTGACATTTTTTTTTCCATAATTTATACAGTCTTAGAAGAGAATCGATTGTTATTATCGTTTAAATAGAGAAGAGATTTTTGTAATTATTTTATATATGGTGAAAAGGTTAGCCACTGGGAACAAATCGAACGGTATTAAAGGTACGATTAGCAGTAGATCGTCTACAATACTGGAAAGTACACAGCCGTCAGTCGTACTCTCTAAAAAAAAGGAGTTTTTCAGAACCCCCCGAAAAGGTACTGTAGATTTCTACAAGCATCCAAATGTGTCCAAAGTCTCAAAAAAAGAGTAAAAAATTCGACAGAACCTTTTTGAGGTTCTGTGGAGTACCCACTAGCAGAACCATCTCTTACGAAACCTTTTTTTAAGTTCTGTACAGCAAAAAAAAAGGTTTTCGTGAGAAAATACGAAACATTGAGGGTTCAGTACAAAACCATTAGGGTTTCGTGCAAAGGTTAATGGTTTTGTACTGAACCCTCAAGATTTCATATTTTCCCACAAAAACCTTTTTTTTTTACTGTGCAGAACTTAAATAAAATGCGGAAACCTCGGATTTAAATCCGAGTGTTATGTATACTTCAAAAAGTAAAAATAATTGACGACAGATTGATTTTGATCAATCTGTCTAAAAACATTCATCCTTGAGCGCACTAAGGAACTGCCCCTTAGGCCCTGCGGATGCCCTCTTTTTGCCCCATAGGACGTGACGAGGAGTTAGTTCCAGAAGCTTTATTCATTCGCATAAATGAAAACTTGTTTGTTTTAGTTGAATCTTGTTATAAACTCATATTAATCAAGTCAAAATGTGGTACAAATTGTTGAGGATTATCTTGAAAAGGTAAAAGAGCATCATAATGAGTACCGTTGTAATAAATACAAAATCCTAATTTATTCATATCGGCTTTGTATCCTATATATTTTAAATGACCACCTGCTGTTTCTTTATTAAATCGATCGATTAATTCCTGTACACTAATATTCAATGGAATGTAATGTCTATTTTTTGGATTGTTGTCAAATTGGATGTATGAATAGATAGGATGAGATAGAGCTATAGAAAATGCTTGGATTTGAACTTCTCCGCCCTATATTGTATTCGTAGCAGTCCTTTTCATGTTCTTCAAATGAATAGTCCAATACTTTACAAAGTGTTTGGAAATAATCGCTATTATTAATCATTGCATTGACTGCTAATAATATCATTGAATGTGTTAGTTTTTCTGACCCAATATTTATTATCGAAAGAGAACTATATAAACAATTGCCATCTGCAGTTGTACGAGTTCTAGCATAAACTGAATCAAATGCTTGAACAGAATATTCTGTTTTCGATTTTAACTGGACGGATTGATCTTTATTATGCATACTTATAAATGGTGATTTTCCAATCAAATCATTGATTATTTGAACTTGATTTGAAATTTGATCAGTATCTGTAGTAATATTAAAATCAAGTACAAGAAGAAAGTGATCAAGAATCTTTCTTGAGTTTGAATCAATGTTTTCATAATTTGCAAAAGAAGATTGTTCATCGATTTTCATCATATCAGACTGATCATTGGTGTGACGATCTTTACTTTAAGATTAAAAGTCGTATCTATATCAGTTTGTTCGTTTTCATCAACTATTTTATAACGATCGGAAGAAAATTCCTCGTCGACTTCCATCATATCAGACTGATCATAAATTCTAAGATCTTTCAGATTAAAAGGTATATCTCTACGAATTTGTTTAATTTCATCAACATGAATTTCAGTCAAAATTTCACGCTTTCTTATCCATATTGGTTTATGAAAACTTGTTAGACTTTCAAAATAATCAGATTTCAAACCATTCCCATTAGTAAAACAATAGTCGATCTGTGTTTTAGCATTAGTTGAATTTTTATTTAATTCATTAATTAAAGTGAGTCCGAATGATTCCATATAGTCAATAAATTTGTGATTAGTTTTTATCTTTAAATCTGGATTAAAATCACCAACAATAACTATATTTTCACAAAATCGTTTGGAAACAGTAATCACTTCATTAATATGTCGTTTTACGACATCAAATGACGAATTTGGTGAATTGTAAATAGAAATGATACAAAAATCATCAATTTTTATTGAAGAGTATTCAATATGGTTTTTTTCCTGAATATTCACATTTTTCGAGAATATTTTCATAATTCAAGTCATTTTTCAAATAAGTAATTTGACCAAATGGTTTTCGTATGTCATTGCAATCACGTCTTTGAACTATCTTGAAACCTTCAATTTCTAAAGAGTCACTAGGTTTTGTCCATGTTTCAAACAAGACTTATTATGGAAGCAGACAAAAATGTTTTGTCAGATTTGACATCCAAAAAAGGTTTATTCAGTGATTGTACATTATGAAACATTAAATAGAATCTTTCTTGAGACTCTTCAGGAAATTCAAGTGAAAATTTCAGCATTCGCTCAGATCTCATGTTTTTGAACATCATCGCTGCTGCATCATTACTTTCAGGTGGTTTTGGTGGAACAAAGTCGCCAACTAAATATAAACCACTTGCTTTTGTCGCGCGACTAGAAGCGACGTATAATTCAGATCTTGTCATCCCCTTCTTCAGATTGACAACGACTTTTTCGTAAGTATCACATTGACTTTTGTATATGGTCATAGCTTCACAAGGAACTACTGGGAACTGTTTACGTTCTACTTTGAAATTTGTTGACCTTGTATTTATTTGCCGTGTTACTGGTTCAATTGGCGTGAGACTGAGATCAATATTTCTATTTCGCATTACATTTTGAAAATTAGCTCTAGTTTTTCTCCCAGTTTTCTCTTCATTAAATTTAATCCATAGTCTACATGATACTGTCTCATTAGTCTTTTGAAGTTTTCCATAATCAATCATTATTAATTTTCCACAAGCACCATTGACTAGACCATCTTCAATATCAATATTGACTGTCATCATATATTTAGCATCTACTTTCAAATTGATTTCAAGTGGTAATCCATAAGTTTCAGTTGTTTTTAGATTCTTTACGTTGGTTAACACTTTTCTTTTACTGATGCTAGTCCATCACCAACACAAAAATCATAAGCATTTGCAGTTGCACCTTCGGTGTTAAGACTAGACAATACTTTTGCATTATATGCATCAACTTCAGCATTACTTCTAAATACTCTTATTGCATCTTCAACTACGTCCAATTTCTCAGCTGAAATGATTCGTGACTTAAATAAATTAATATCTTCAAGTGCCATCATTCCTTTTGCTAGATTACTCAGTGCAATGGCAAAAGTCTTATCATCTTTTTGTCTCATTATTTCTGTCAATTCGAACCATTCAAATAGTGACCATAATGGATTATCTACTAACGCATTATATGAATTGTTAAATTGGAATATGTATTTATCGCCAACTGGTCTTAATTGATTGAAATCGCCCAAAACTATAACTGATATTCCACCAAATGGTGCTTTTGACTTCATTATTTGCTGCAGGCGAGCATCGACCTGCTGAAACATTGTAAAACCAACCATTGATATTTCGTCTATTATTAGTAATTGTAAGTCTTTCAATTTTACTCCAATTCTATTTGAAACATCGCTGTCTAGTTTAACAAGTTTGTGTTTGCATTGATTAACTGGTAAACTTAGAAATGAATGCAAAGTCATTCCGTCAATTAATGCTGCTGCTTTGCCAGTTGGCGCGCATATTGCGACACGGATAGTTTCTGGATTAGACCCTGGAAGAGAATTGTAAAATCTCAATATCGACTGATATACTGCTTTGATCAAAGTACTTTTGCCAACACCTGCACCTCCATTAATGTAATGTAAAAATTGCTTATCACCGTCTTTAATTAATTTCATCACATTTAAAGTGTATTTCCTTTGATTGCTATTGAGACTTCTCATCAATCGCTGATAATCAGCATCTAGTATCATTTTGGAAACATTAAAATGTTCGACTTTTTCAGTTCGAGTATTTATTCCCATTTCAACAAAGATATCGCCTTCATTATTTCCTGTTTCATAAATAAGAAATTCATTTTTATCTTGATCATATTCAATATTTGTATCATCAATATCATCGTCATTTCCTCTTTCTGTTTGCTCTTCAAAAGCTTTTTCGAATTCATTGGCTTCACGATGAACATATTCAGATCTTTTTTGTTGAATCAAATCTTTATTTAATTCAAATGTCTCTTCATGATTTATATGAATAAGATCCTTTTCCTCATTACTCCATGGTAGAAATAACATCAGCTGCTGTCTGTAATAATTTTCAGGATCTTGATGTAGCTTAAAATTTCTGTATCTTATTATTTTTTTCTTTGTCCTTTTTTAATCCAACCTTTTCCATTTTTCATCTTCAAAGGAATAATTTTTTCATCAATTTCATTGTCAACGACATTTTCATCATCAGAATTTCCTGTGATTTGAGCATTGTCTGTTATTTTCTTTGATACATTATACAATGAAGCAAAATCAGCCAAACAGACCTTTTTTCATTTCGTCAGGTCTATTAATGTACATATCAATCAAGCCTTCAACAAAAACATCTTTTGAATCAGGCTCCAGTTTCTGAAGAATTTCATCTGATTTGATCATAGAAATTCTATTTTCGGGTCTATTTGTATTAATGAATACAGTGCTTCTGCTACTGATTGAAAGTGGAATACTTAAAATATGATAAACAGCTTCTTGTGCTGAAATTTCGCTTGAATTCAAAAATTTATTTGCAATAACTCTAAGACGTTCTTTGACTGTGTTATTGCCTTTTTTAGCTCATTCAGTGCTTCTCTTAGAAGTTTAGACATGCCATTTTCAGATTTGTTGATGTAATCAACACAATACATCGAGCATGCATAAGGATCAAGAATGTATTGAATGTCCATATTTGCTTTATGCAATGACATTATCATTGGATTGTATGCATTGATTCTGATTTCACTTGAAGCACGTTTCAAGAATACTTTCGGTTTTTTCAATTCAGCTCTAATCATTTTAATATATTCTTCTTCATTCATATTTACATGTTTCAAGAATTCTTCAAAAGTTAATGAATTATCTTGATTTTGATATTTTGTCAAGTTCTTTGATTACATTCTGTCTATTTTTGC